TGTAATATCTATTTTGTCCTTTTACTTTTTTGAAAATATCCAAGGGAATATATATGTTACTAATCTTATAGTATATGGGTGTTATGTGCACATTACCTGATATATATACTAAAAAAAAATTTAAAAAAAGTTTTAGAATTTGTGAAATAAGAATTTGAATTTTTTGAAATTTGAATTTATTGTTTTCTACTAATTTTTTTCTTAATTTTATAAATATATAAGGTATTTATTATTCAGGATTTGGTAGCCATGTTTTTCCTAGCCTGTCGTTTGTGGTTGGTGAAATTGTTGTCAATGAACCGTAGTGCGTACTAAAGTTTGTCGGTTTCTTAAAATCTCTTAAGTTATCTTGTTTGCCATAAAAGATGGCACTTGAGCCTGCATTACGACTACTTTATTGGAAGAAAAGCTTGTCCGCGGTAGAATTTTTAAGTGCACAAGTCCTTTTCACTTGCATAATTCTTTGCACTGGAACTTCACATTTCATATTTTAATACAAATTAATAAATTATTGGTATTACGTGAGAGAATTCATATTGATTAATATATATATATTTTTGGTTGAAGAAGGATTCTAACACAATTTCTATTAGCACAATGTCCTGTACAAAAGTAAAAGTAATAAGAGCGCACAAAAACTTGTTTTTGAATTATCTCCATCGTGTATTATCGATATGGCTTGGTTTTCATACACACTTCAATTTTCAAATACGTGTACAGATGGTAGCTACATATTTTAGAGATAAGCTCAATCAAAAAGTAATCTCCTTTTTCATTTCGGTTCTTCCACTCCAAAAGCACTTAAAACCTAAGCCAAACAGCACCAACCTTTGGTAAATCTTATTGGAACAACTGGACAAAGTAGAAGAAATTGATCCTTTACTAGTTTGGGGCGGTGGTTTCACCACTATCATAAGTTCATAACCATATGATGATTTAGATTAGTGGTGATGTCTAACACGTACCGTGGCACCCACTTTTTACAATTAAATCCATTAACATCCCCTTTTTACAATTAAATACATTACAACACAACAGTTAATGTATTGTGATAAATATGATTTACCAACCGCATTTACTTTGATTCTCCAAATGCTTAAGATTCAGTTCATTAACATATAGCAAGATTTGTCAGTTTGTTCGAAGTATAAATATGCATTAATTTCAAGAAGACATGTTCAAAGTTGTAACCCACTCGACTCCACAACATGATTGCGTTGATAGAAATTTAAGAGATAAGTTCTCGATAGGGACGGATCCAAGAATTCATATAAAGGAGTTTTTTCATAATTTTAGTAAGGACAATTTTAAAATTTTATGAGTATAAATGTAAAAAAGTATAAATTTGAGGGTGTAAAATGTAATTATAAAAAATTCCTGTGGGAGCGGATGCCCCCATTGAACCCTTCACAAATCCATCCCTGATTCTTAAGGTCTCGCTTTTGAACTGCACTTTTAATTTAAATTGTGTATATGTTGTGAGACCAATACACGTGTTTTTAAAAAATAAAAAATAAAAACTCATTCAAACAAAAAATAAGATTAATTTCGAAAAGTGCCGATAAACTCACGAAAAGATAAAAAAATATTTATGAATCAGTGACCATCTAAGGTTCAATATCCTAAACCCTTCAAATGAAATATCTTCTCACGTTAACAAGACTAAAGAATATCTGTGCTAGTGGAAAATTACGTGCAAAAATAAAGTTTTTTCATTCATTGTTTCCCACTGGACTTGTCTTTATCAATGCCATTCAAGAAAGGCCCTCAAAAGACCGTCAAATAAAAACAGGAAAGAATTAAGTGGGTGGTTAGTGACTGGGGTCGCAGTGTCATGCCACCGGTGGAGGTGAACCGTGTGGGTCAGATTCCGATAGAGTGATGGTGGTGAATCATTTTTAACTTTACCTTGTTTGGAGTTCATTTTTCCTTTCCTTGCATCAAAGTTCTAATTTGCAATTACGTGCAACTTACTCTTAATTGGAAAAAATTTGAGCCCGAGTGCCTCATGAACATCATGTCTCATTTTTGTTGTGTGCAAACAATCAAGGATCATGCCTACTTACATAGTTCAAGACTTTCCCGACCTGTGTCGTTTTGCATGAATATTGTGGATTACTTGGGATAAATCTCCAAACGCTCCAATTATCAATCTAAAACAGTTTTTTTCTTTTCTTTTCTTTTCTTTTTTGATCATCAAAATTTAATTTTTCCATTAATTTAACAGTTAGTGTAACTATAAAAACTTTAAAATAAGAGAGAGAGAGAAATTGTATATTATATTGATGTTAATGAATATTACATAAAGGGTCTTATATATAGGAGAATGTTTGAGGTAGGTGAATGATGAACAAGTAAGTTAAGTAATCTATAGAAAAATTAATATGATAGATGTAATCATAGATTGTAATTTGTAGTATGCAATAAGCCTAGGTGGTATATAAAGGGGTAAACTTATAATCTAACAATGCCAATTAGTCATATACACAAATAATGTATATGTATTTGGGCAAGTTTTTATGATTTTGAACCAACGAACTTGGATGAGAATGGCAAGGGACAAGTCTACCCTTTATTTGAGTGAAATCCCAAAATTTGAATATTAAGTAGAAGGAATCATAAATGGCAGAGTGTTACAAGTGGGACTTGTCCCACATCGGATTTGAATAGGGATTGAAGTGGGTATAAATGGGTAAATATGCAAAACTACCCAACAACTTAAATTTTTGAATAAATGAGCAAGCGCTCACTCGTTACCGTTGGTATTAAAACCAGATCCGGTTGCCCGACCCAGAGGACGTCGGGATGTAAACCCTGGATAGGCAGGATAATTCGACCACAACGAAGGCGTTGCTTCTAGCTAAGAAATCATAATTAAGAGACTATAATTACGAAATAACAAGGGGGAAACTACACAAATGTATGGTTAGGATTTCGTTTGGATTGACCTTAAACGAGTTCAGATCATAAAGGGGTTGACACGATTAACCCGTTTACTTAACCGTGTCGGGTTAGGGTTAAGGAGTTCAACCCGTGTAACCCATCTATGACCCGTTTAACTTAACATGTTATAATCATGAATATAACATATGTAATTTGTTACTTGTTTAAAACTAATTACTATAAATAGTTAAGTCATTTTAACATAAACTTTGTTTATGTCTTATGATTTTTCTTTTGATTTTGAATATTTGGGTTAATTGTGACCAAAAAAATATTATTATTTATTATTTTATTAAATATTAAATGTTTCGTTTATCTGTTTAATAAATGGGTTGGGTTAGTGTTGAGAGTTTTTAATATGATTATTAAATGGATTAGGTTTGGATTTACTTATTTAATATAATATCCTTACATCGACACGACACGATTATGACCCACGAACATAAATTGTCACCCCTAGTTAGGATTATTAAATTTTAAAATACTATATTTTAAAAGTTTATTTTTCAAATTGATTAAATTAAATCAAATAATTACAAATACATCAAAAAATATTATTAAAATCCAAAATAACTTCTAAACTTTTATTTCAAAATATCCATCTTAAAATCGTATAATCCAAAATACTAAAAAATTTAGAAAACATTTTCATGATATTGTAATGCATGGATTTTTGACATTTAGCACTCATGATTTCTTTCGATTTCCTTTATTTTGCATGGCTTACGTAAGGACTCTCAGGCCATACCTTGGTCTAATCAAAATTCTATATTTGATTAAAAAATTATATAATATTGATTTTTTTATTTTTTAAAAAAGAATCAAACCCGCTAAAAACGGTTACCCATACCTTAAATCAATCCCACTCAAAAATTACAGTCGATCAATCATGGCCATAGACATACCTCTGGCAAACTAAATTGATTGAGATTCTGGCAGATGAAAGAGAAAATTGCACAGAGAATGTAATAGCGGTGGGTCGTTTACATACAAACATATATACTAATATATACTACTACTAATAAACATAATGATCAGTAGTATTTGTTGTGCCGGAGACTTTGAGGATGGATTTGAACGGCAGGGGGTTAGGTGAACGTGGATAGAGGAATGTACTAGCCAATTTATCCATATTTGCTAACTCAAACAAAACCTCAATTATTGTTTTGGTATTTTGAAATGATATGATTTTAAGAAGAATATTTTGGTATTTAAAATAAGAGTTTAGGAGTATTTTGAATCTTAACAATAATTGTTAATGTATTTATAATTATTTTATTTTATTCTATTAATTTAAAAAATAAACTTTAAAATAGATGATTTTGTTGTCTAACACTCCTACCTATGTATAATTTTCCCTATAACAATTATGATAATTTGTTAAGAAATCCTAATCTTTCTTTTTATTAGGGACCATTTAAAGTATTGGGGACACTATTTAAAAGAAGACAAATACGGCGAAATATTCAAAGTATAAAGCAATTTAACAAAAGAAAAGGAATTATACACATATAGTCTAAAAAGCCCTCAACTCTTTAAACATTGACATCCATCTCCTCTTCTTCCTTCTCAAACCCTTTACTCACTTTCTCTCTCTATCCACAGCCATCGCCCTTCCACATACAAGCCACCGCCTCCGTCACAACCACCAACATCGCCACCGTCACAACTACCAATATCGCCACCGACTCCACCATAGCCAGATCGATCCCTCATTCCCTCCCCACTACCACCGACTCCTTCTCTCCACCACTAACGTATTTGTAATTACCTTTTATTAAATTGTATTATACGTTGTTTTTTTTTCTTTGCTTCCTTTCTAATTTTGTATTATACTCCGTATTTCTTTAGGTGGGCCCAATTTAAAAACCAAAGAAATTGAAACGAAACAAGCAAAAACACATCAAAACAAATAAAAGTAAGCCCAGAACATCAACCAATTAATTTATATTAATTCATCATGATATTAATTCAGCCAGTACTTCTACGTACTAATATACTGAAGCATGATATATCGCGACTTAGTATATTCTCAAAATATCACTACAATACCAACCAAACGTACAAATTAACTTCTAAACCTAAATACAAATTCGATCACCTGTAAAACATATATATATATATATATATATATATATGTATGCATATATATACACTTCTTACAACACAGTTACACTTGAAATTCTGTTACATAAATTAAAAACAACCCTAGCAAAAGTATGACACTTGACAGCAAAACTGCCAAGACCACCAAATACTGTAGATAACAATATATATATATATATATATTAGAGATAGAGAGAGAGCTGCCCTTGATTCTAGCTTTAGCTTTATAATTAATTTAGCTTAGAACAGGGCAGTTAGAACAGGGCAGTTCTCTTTGAATTAACAGCATATATATATAGCTTCTGCTTCTTGGATAAACATCAGTCTTGACCTTTATCTTCATCAATCATCTCAATCCCAACACTCTGGCTCCGAGGCACGACATCCACTCCTCCGGTCACCGGATACTGTTGCAACAGTGACTGTTGTCTCCGTAGAAGATCCAACTCGATCTTGTTGCCAAGACTCCGTGTAGAAGCAATCTTGATAAGCTCCCTGAAATCTTCGTCGTTGCTGGATTTGGAGGAGTTGACACTGAAACTCTTGGGCAAAGTGGAGACTTGGGCGGTAGGACAGCCCATGACGTTGTCGTGGCTCACCTTTCCGGCGCACTGAGTCATGCTTTGAATGTACCAATCCCTGGCCTTCCTCAATACCTTGATGGGTGTCTTCAAGTACCGACTCAGTTTGGTCTCTTTGGTACTAGTCTTCTCGGCCATGTTTTCCTAGCTACTCAGTACGTTATATTATACACACACACACAATCAAATCACTAGGAAGTGAAGATTGAAAAAGAGAAAGGAAAAGAGCTAGCAAAGACAGTATTTGGAATGAAAGACTTGGCTTATTTTAATGCAATAAATGTGGAGATAAATCTAGGGTATAATAGAGCATCTCCATGAAAGTGACGGGAGAGAGAGGGATTTGTAGAGCATCTCCATGCATGGAGTCTTTAAAATTTGGGTCTCTAATTTTGCCATATCAGCATTTTTTATAGGCTAGATTAGCATTTTTAAGATTCACATGATGGTTTTGAACTCTCCAAATTTTAGCTATAAAGGTGTTCTAATGGTGCATTTTCGCTCTAAAAAAATACTAATATTTTAAGATTTTTAATATTTTTTTTTATAACTTTTTCCTAACCATAATATCCATTATCATTTTATGTATTCATTTATTAAGATGAAAACAAAGGCAAATTTTTTTTTTTTAAAAAAATAAATCATTGTTTAAATTAAATTTCATTTTGCTAGGAAAAAACAAAAACTAAAATTTTCGGCCAATATAGCCATTGAGGCACTGTTTGGGTTAGCCAAACTCTGCCTAAAACAATTATAATTAATGTCAATAGGAATCTTGAAATTTTTTATTTTTTTTAAATACAATTTTCTCGAAAAAAAAAATTTTCTTTTTTTTTTTTTTTACCTAAAAAAGACTTTAAGTCACTGTTTGGTTCATTTGTTTTGAGGAAAAAAAAAAAAAAAAAAAAAGAAATCCCAAAACTAGTTTATATAATTTATTCCAGTCAAACACGCCCTTAACCCAATTCTGGGCTAAGAGGTACAGTAATTTTGGCTTTAAAAAATAAAGAAAAAAGCAAGTGGATCCGCACAAGGTAGGCCCGCAATCGCTAACGAACAAGGTCGCCATTTTTGGCAACCAATTTTGCGACCCAAAAAATTGGGCCCACATTTTGGAGACCCATTGGACTGCCCAAATTGCTAGAAAGGTACCAAAATCATTAAAAATAAAAAAATAAATAAATAAGGGGCCATTAGAGTTGCTCATAGAGGTATGGTTAGACCCTAAGTCACATAAAGTGGGAGAGTGAGAGCGTCAAAGTCTAAAAAAATTTAGAGCGGAGCGTCGTGAGAGCGTCCATATATTTATTCCAATTTAACAATTATAATTTCAATTTATTAAATATTTTTTGATGAATTTTTAAATATTAAATAATACATTTTTAATTATTTTTATTAATCAATTTTACGAAGTAGTTATATATTTTAACTCTATTTATTGCTCCCTCTTTCCATATTAGTCCTCCACTTTTATTATTAAGACTTTTTAAGGAAACGTGAAATTAATGCATTGTTCAATTTGTTCCATTTTAAAATTACCAAGTTGTTATTTTGAATTTTAATGTGTATATTACAAAGTTTTTGAAAATTTAAAGGGTCATCAGGAAAAGATAGCATTATTTTGCTTTGACTTTTCATATAGGACATCCTTAAATGAAAAGATTGACTACTAACATAAAATAGAGGAAATACTAGTTTAAGCATAAACCTATCCAAGAGTCTTGTCTTTTTCTCTGGGGCTTGGTTACCAAATTAACTTTATTTGATATCCTTGCCCTCCTTCAGTTTAGTACTAGAACATTACATGTCACTTACCTGGGACTACCACTCACATCCAAAGCCTTTCGCTTAACTGACTGCACTACCCTACTGAAAAAAATTACTACAAGAGTGAAGAGATGGACTTTAAGATTCCTTTCCTTTCCTGGTAGAACTGTCCTCGTTAAATCCATACTATGCTCCATGCAAAGCTATTGGGCACAAAATTTTGTCTTGATCGAATAAGATCACGGAGGCTTAGTTGGACCACTTTAGACAGCAAGGCAAGGCTTAGCTTAGAGACATTAGGAAATGCTCTAGGTGGAGAAAACAAAAAGTTCCTTTACGCAGAGACTTGTTGCCCTTTTCGACCGATGAAAAGCTTCAAAATAAGAAAAAGAAACTCGAACTATAGCTGACGCCTCTACCGATGTGTCGACTGGTTAGTGACGTGTAGTAGACCACATGAGTCTAATACTATATTATGGGGCAAAACCCAAGAAGGTCATTGAGGAAGTTAACAGGATTTTGAAGAGGTTTCTTTGGTCAGGTCCTGAACTAAAGGCATCATGTGCTAAAGTAGCATGGGATGTGGTGTATAAGCCAAAGATCAATGGTGGGTTAGGCTTCCCAAACCTGGAAATGACAAACTTAATTGCAAATTATCTGGAAGTTATTTGCTAAAAGGACTGAAAGCCTCTAGGTTGCATGGACACATAGATACTTAATTAAAGCTAGGAGCTTCTGAACGTACTATTAAACCAACAGCTTTGAGCTTTGGATTTTGGAGAAGGTTGTTGAAACTAAGAGATATGGCAAGGGGTCTATTGAGGCACGGGTTTGGGAAGGGTACTAACACTATGATGTTATTGGACTATTGGCTACCAAATGGACCTTTACTGAACCAACTCAACCTTAATGATAGGGAAATTCTTCAACTAGAATTGAGAGTCAAAGTTGATAGGCTAATTTCCTTGAATCATTGGATTGTCCTTGACTCACTTGCTCACATTCCATTCTTCCAAACACAGAATTTTCAATTATATGAGCTGCCAAACCCTTCCACTGAAACATAATCAGTTATATAGTTACCCTCACCAAATTGTAATTTCTCCCTTGCTCATACAATCAACTACTTCATTCCCCCTACCTTCATAGGCTTCATTTTTCCATGGCATAAGACCATTTGATTTAAACATCATATCCCCAAGCACAGCTATATCACCTGCTTGGCCACAAAAGGAAGACTCTATACATTGGATAGAAAGCCAATGAGGCACAAACATCATATCAATATTTGTTACCTTTGTCTTGCTAGCAATAAATCTTTAGATAATTTATTCTTCCAATGTCAGTTCTCAAAGGTAATTTGGTCATTCATTCAGCACACAATTGGGCTCTACATCCAACCATCTAGTTGGGGAGATTTGATCATTTGGTATTCTTCATACTGGGGTTCTAAAAGATTCTTGGTCCATAAATTACTGCTTCTGCTCCTTTTTTTTTTCCTTTGGATGGAGGAGACAATAGAGCCTTTAGGAACGCATCCTTATCCCCAAACATTGTCATTTATCAAATTAAGAAAAGCATTAGAGGGAGGTTGACCTCAATCAAACTAAAGAAGACATCTGATTTAAGAAATCTTAACAGATTCGAAGACTTACAGAAGCTTTTCATGGTAGGTTGCAGCTTAGCCTATGCTCAGGCTCTTATTGCAGCTTCAATTTGTTTTGCCTTGAGTTTGGTTATCTCTGTTGGTTGAGGTTTGCCCCTTTAATGTCAAATGGAAGTCAAAAGTGTTCATGGCCACTTTCTCTATATTGGTATCACAGGGGTATTTTAGTCACAGGGGTATTTCAGTCATTATACTCTTGTGTGTGTATGTGTTTTTCTCCTCCCATATGCTAAAATACATTACAGAGTTTGCATTCAAGCACTTACACAAATAGATAAGTGTTGCAGCAATTACATGGCCATTGTGAGGGCAATTCTAGAATTTCAGTGTGCTATGATGGACTCTCTATAGTGTTTCACGTGCACAGTGGTCCTAATGAGAGAAGAATGTACACAAAATTGCAATTTTTAGCTGTATGCTTCAGCATTGTACAAATGTCTGATGAGGGCTGCAAAAAAGTTGCCTTTTAATGATAAGCTAGGGCTGTACAAGGGGTATCTTGGTCCATTTACAGTATGTAAGGTCAGAATATTTCCTTATCTGTGATTGGCCAATGATGGAATATACGTATCTACACTAGGGCAGTAGTGTGAGGGTATATGTATGCTGTTATAGCAGCTGCAAAAAATTCTGCACACAAAAAGACCCTTTGAGCTACATTTTCAGCTGTTGTGCAAGAGGGTTCTCGAGACCAAAGAATGATTGAGGTTTTCTGGGATTTTGAATGTTAATGTAACCTGAGATTCAACCTTGAATTCAATAGAAGATGAGTATCCCACAAGCATTCATAGAGGGCTGAGAACAGTTTGAATTTCTGGTGTAAACAAGAGGCTGTGAAGGTGAAGAATTAGCTGTGGTGGTGTCTGGGGCTGGAACAAGGGCTGAGCATGTTTCTTTAAGGTGTTTACAATTGCAGAGGGCATTTAATCAACTACACAATGGCTGGTATCAGTTTTTATATCTCAAACCTACCTTAAATTTGATTTTCTAATGCATAGCTTCTGATGAATTGTTTCAATGCTGATTACTTGGTATATTTGTTGAGGCTATTCTTTGAACAAGTATAATTTATCATTATAAAGCTGTGTATACAAAGATTTGGACTGAAACTTGAGTGCATTTGAGTTTGAGCCCACAAACCAAACCTAACAGCCTTATTGAAACAAAAACAGCCTGCATAGAGTATTGGAAATTATTATAGTTGATATATATTGCTAGCACTGCTATGAAAACCTTCTGAGCACATATATATGACTGATTTGAGGTTAATGGAGTTGAGTTCAAGGCTGTAGATACACGAATTTCCAGAAATACCCTTTGATAGCAGAATTATGCAGAAACTGATTCCAAGTAGTTTTTTGGGGCTGTAATTGATATGCTTGTTGATGTGCTCTGCCCCTGAGTCTTTGTGTGAAGTTGAAAGGGTATGTGAGAGTCTATTCCAGGCTTGAAACAATTCAAAATACCCACTATACCCTCAGAACAGTAGCTTCACAGTAGCCTGAAAACAGACCCTGTAGCAAGCTGTTTTGTTGCTGTTTTAGTGCTACAATGTGTTCATCTTGCTGTGGAAATTGAGAATATCTTGTGAACAAGTGTATTTTGACTATTGAAGACTGGAGGAGTGAAGTTTGGGTTGTCCTTGAAGCTACATTACTAAAGTACCCTTTGAAGCTACAAAGCAAGGGTTTAATTAGGGTTTTGTTCATTCTAAGATTTTAAATGTCATACCTTGCTGTTTTAATTGTTCTTATCAACTGAGCAAGTGTACTTTATATATTACTGACTGAGGGTGTAAAGTTTGGTGTGCAATTGAGGCTGCAT